TAGTAGTAGTATAGTAGTAGTAGTAATAGTAGTAGTAGTAGTAGTAGTAAGAGGAATAGAAGTAGGAGTAGCAGTAGTAGTCGTCGCAGTAGTAGTAGGTAGTAGTAGTAGTAGTAGTAGTAGTAGTAGTAGTAGTAGTAGTAGTAGTAGTCGTAGTAGTAGTAGTAGTAGTAGTGGTGGTAGTAGTAGTAGTAGTAGAATGTGTAGTGGTGGTAGTAGTAGTAGTAGTAGTAGTAGTAATAGTCGTAATGCTAAGTATCGTGATAAGCTTAACCTAGTCCCCAACCGTCCTGTTATGTTGAACCCTTGTTCTGAAGAAACAACGCACCGCGTTCACTCCTCCCGGTGCCCCTCCCTCACACGCTCCGTGGATCCATAAGGAACCCCACCCAAGGCCCGAGTGGTTGCTGTCGCCTGCGCCCACCGCACCCATGTCGGCACACACCTTACACGCTTCGTGGCTTCAGGCCGCCCCACCGAAGACTCGACTGGCTGCGTTCGCATGCGGCCACGATACCCACTTTGGCACACCACTCACACGTTTCGAGGCCCCACCGGAAACCACACCGAAGGCCCACATGCCAGCGTTCGCACGCGGCCACCGCACCCATTTTGGTACACCCATCATACGTTTCGTGGCCCCGTGGGCAGCCCCACCGTTCGCATGCGGCCACCGCACCCATGTTAGCACTCCCCTCAGACGCTTCGGGGCCCCGTAGGGAACTGCACCGAAGGCCCAAGTGCCAGCGTTCGCACGCGGCCACCGCACCCATTTTGCCACACCCCTCACACGTTGCGTGGCCCCACAGGGAGACCCACCTAAGGCCCGAATGCCAGCGTTCGCATGCGGCCACCGCGCAAATTTTGGCACACCCCTAACACGCTTCGTGTTAGGGGTGTGGCAAAATGGGGGTAGTAGTAGTAGTAGTAGTAGTAGTAGTAGTAGTAGTAGTAGTAGTAGTAGTAGTAGTAGTAGTAGTAGTAGTAGTAGTAGTAGTAGTAGTAGTAGTAGTAGTAGTAGTAGTAGTAGTAGTAGTAGTAGTAGTAGTAGTAGTAGTAGTAGTAGTAGTAGTAGAAGTAGAAGTAGTAGTAGTAGGAGTAGTACCAGTAGAAGTAGAAAAAAGTAGTAGTGGTAAAAGTCGTAGTCGTAGTCGTCGTAGTCGTCGTAGTGGTAGTAGTTCTCGAGCTTCCGACGCTGCAATACGGCCGAAGGGGCCCCGTAGACCGACCCAAACTGCCCAAGAGGTAGGCTCCTACGAAGGCACCGAGACGGCCGAAAAAGGGTTCCAGGACGGCCCATTGAGAGGCTCAAGACGGCCAAGTATCGCCCCAAGAGGGCCCCACATGAGGCAAAGGAGGAGAACAATAATTGAACATCAGATCCCCCCCAAGGGGCCCCCAAAGGCCGCGAAGCCCCCAAGCAGCTCACTAGAGGCCTCCAGTAAGCCCCAAGAGGCTCCCAAGAAACCCCAAGACGCCCACGACGCCTCAAGCTGGACTTCCCGCCTCTTATGGGGGCCGGCGGAATGGCGTAAGCAGCTTTTCTCCTTATATACCAAAAGTAACAGGGGTAGTGGTAGTACTGGTGGTGGTGATATGAATTGGACTGCTAGCTAGAAAACAAAAGCGGTCGGAGTAGCAGTGGTGCCTGTAGTGTAAACTTGAATCAAAATTATACTAATGGAGGCCCCCAGAGGCCCCCCACACCCAAGAGGCCCCTTGAGGCCCCAAAGCTGTCCCCAAGAGGCCTTTGAATTTTCACCAAGAGGCCCCCAAGGACTCTGAGCCACAATCCATGCAAGGTGGCGGGATGGGCCGAAAGCCATTCGAACCCATTGGCGGTTGCGTACGCCGTCGTGTCTGTGTAGACAGCAACGAATGCATACCACAGCGGCCTTGTCCACACAGCAACTTCCACATGCACCACAACGCCTGTGTACAACACGATGCTTGTGCAACCGCAACAGCCGTGCGCACCTCAGCGTCCAGCGCCTGCGTGCACTACGATGCTTGCGTGCACCACAAGACCTGTGTACACCCCCAAGGTCCCGACAACGCCCGAATTTCTGGAAAATCATGGTGGGCCTGGCTCTACCAAATTCAGCGTGTGAGTTTTTTGTAATTCTTGACTTTTCTGGCCCAGGATACAACAGGCAGGTCCACCCTGCACTTTGGGCCCGCGGGGCTTGCGTGCAACGCTGCGTTTGTACACCATGCTGCTTGACCAGCCACAGCGGCCGTATGCACCAAAGCGCCTGGCGCCTGCGACTATCACAGTCCTTGAGTTTGAGTATGCTAAAAAGACTGTGTACACCCGCGGAGCTCAAACTCGATGAACCATTGGTGGGCCCGAACGTGTCAAATTCAATCAGACGGTTATTCCTGACAATAATGGACCCGTAGTTTGGGCCCGCAGTGCGTGCGCGCAACACAACGCCAGTGTACACCACGATGCTTGTGCAACCACATCAGCAGCGTGCACCGTGCCGTCTGGCGCCTGTGACCACCGCAAATATTGTGCATATCCAAGCGTTCCCGACGGCGCCCACATTCCGGAAAACCTTGGTGGTCCCGAACCTATCAAATTCAATATGAAAGTTCTTTGTGATTATTGACTTGTCTGGCCTGGGGCACGGCCTGGTATTTGGGGCCCGCGCCTTCGTGCACCACAGCGTCGGTGTACAACATGATGCTTGCACCAACCACAGCAGCTGCGTGCATTACCGCCACTTGCGCCTGCGTTCACCACTGTGCCTGTTCACGCGCTCGTGTACACGACAAGGCCTTTGTCCACCTCCAACAGTCTCGACGGGGAACACCAGCTCCAGAATATACTGGCGGGCCCGAGCGTATCACATTCAATCTGCTAGCTGCAAGTCGTTGTCATTATGTTTTTCAGGCCCGGTGTACAATCCACCACAATGCCTTCGTGCACCACGCCGCTGTGCAACACGATGCTTGCGCCACCACATCCGCCGTGTACACCGTAGCGTTTGGGGCCTGCGTGCACCAAAGTGCCTGTGTACACGCCTGTGTACACCACACCGCCTGTGTGAAACCCCCAAGGATCCCGACGGGGCACAAAATCTCGAAAACCGTGTTGGGTCTGGACCTATCAGTTCCATTCTGGAAATTACGTGTGTCTATTGAACGTTTTTTGGCCCAGGACATGGCCTCTCACCTGCATTTTGGGCCTGGCCTGGAGTGCTTGCGTACACTACATCGACTGTGAGCACCACGGCGCTGGCGTACAGCAAAACGCCCGCGTGCACAACAGTGCCTGCATACATCACAGCGCTGACAGCTACGAGCGCCGAGCTACGAGTGCCACTCCAATGACTCTGAGCAATAGAACAGCACTGCGTCCCTGAGAACACCACACATGCGTGAGCGCTACAACCAGCCTGTGCAAACATCATAGTAGCCTGCGAGGGCTACAAGATGCCCATGGTCGCCCAGGGACGACCGCCGTGACGTGATCTGAGGGGGGGAGGGGGGAAGCGTGGCCGATCACGCCCGTTGTTGCAGAAGGAAAACTAGCTCTGATCTCACACTCCGACTCAGCATCATTAGACACGATCGCGCTCACCCTGACTCATACTCATAGCCACCCCTGCTCAGTCTCACCCGTGTGCAGACTCTATCATACCCAAACGGTTTTGAGCTCAGACTCACTCATACTCAGATTTACTCATACCCAGGCTCATTAATGCTCTGACTTACTCATGCAGACACACGTATTGGTTGACACCCAAACTTACTCACTCTCAGACCCATTCATGCTCAGGCCCTTTGGTTCGCAATCTCACTCAGCAGACGCGCTCATACTTTGACTCGCTGATTCCTCAGAGATGCATGGCCACAGCGATGTAGCAGGCATAACGTCCAGACCTCCCACGGGAAAGCCACCGTCGGGTAGTGCACGGGTCCTCTCGCGCTAAGATCGAAGGCACCTCTCAGGCAGAACGCCTTTCTTGGGTTGGCCCACTGGACGAGTCTCGCCTCGGAGCCCCATGCTCGCAGCGGCGTTGCCAGCATCGCGCTCGAGCCTCCCCCGGAGAGCCCACCCAGGGTGATTGCACGGGCCTGGGCCCTGATTGCCAGGACCGCTCAAACAGAATTCCCCTTCTGGCCCAGCGGACGAGCCCCATGGAAGAGTCTCACCATTTAGCCCCATGATCACCGCGGTGCAGCAAGCATCGCACATGGGCCTTCCGATGAGAGCGGCAGAGGGTATTGCGCGGGCCAGTTCGCGCCCAGCTTGGCTGGCCTTTGAAAGCAGAACTCCCGCACTGGCCAGGTGGACGAGTCGCTTCTCAGAGTGCCAACATCACTGCGGTGCAACAGGTATCGCCCTGGGGCCTCCGAAGGCAAGCCGCTTGGGCGCCGCCTCGCGCGCTGGCTCGATCGGGGCACCATGGAGCCTTCTTGGAGCCTTCCAGAACCTCCTGGCAGTCCCGAGAGTTTCTGTTGGCGTCCTGGATCTGCCCGGCGCCAGCGGGCCCGTGCGATGCCTCTCCTTGTTCTGAGCATCGGCGGCGAGGCCTGGGCTCACTGGCCGATCTGCCCCCCCTTGGATGGGGACGTAGGCCGCTTCCTTCGGGCCTCGACGGGGTAGATCCCCCGCTGTCCCTCCACAGCGCATCTTGGCGGATCCGAAACACGACGAGGACCCCACGAGACCGAAAATGGATAACAAAAACCTTCCGTCGTGTTTCCTTCGCGGCGCGCGGGCCGGGTCGGCCGAAGTGAGGGTGTAGCGAAGGGGGCGACAGCGACTCGGCTCGCAGAGCTGGTTTTCCCGGCGCACCCCTTGTGCTGGGAGCGACCATGCATCGAGGAGAGGGCCTGGCGGCGGGGCCGAAACCAGCCACACGCAGAAGATGATGCATCTTACCCGTTCGCGTCGGACCCGAGAGAGGGAAGGTCTTGGGAGGAGCAGGGGACATCAGTGGCAGCCACCGCGGCAGCAGCCCGCGAGGGGGGAGGGGGGGGGCGACCGCCAGTGGGGCGCTCCAGCGCGAGGACCTCCTCGCTCGTGTCCTGTGAGGGTTCGGAAAGCGTGGGCCTTGCATGATAAAGCTTCGGGCTGCGCACTGGCAGCCACCCCAGGCAGGCCCAGCTGGCCTCAACGGGTCCCTTGAGGAGTAGCCCCAGCTGGCCCTCAACAGCTCACCCGGCCCCCAGAATAGTCCCGGGAGGTCTCAACACCTCAACCCTGGTAGGGGGCCACCTGCGAACCCTACCCCTAACCCCCCACGACTTCTGAGGGGGAGGGGCGGGGTTCACTTCGTTCGGGAGCTCCCGAGCGAAGTGACCCCCCCCCCCTCAGAAATCGTGGGGGGTAGGGGTAGGGTTGAGTCGGGCCTGCCCCTCTACAGGGGGAATGTTCAGAAATAGTCAAAAAATAATCAGGAAACTATTTCTTGACCATTTGTGCAGATGTTTAGGGTATTGTTTGGGTATTCTTAATTTTTCGTCCAAAATCCCCCTGTGGGGGGACAGGCCCGACTTAAGGGTAGGCTTCGTATGCGGCCCCCTACCTGGGGCGCAAAGTGCCCCAAGGGCGCCACTGGAGGCGGCGCCCGGGTGCTGAGACCGGAGGCCTGTCCCGGAACTGCCTGAGGATGTGGACGCCACGACACTGGAGCAGGGACCGACCGTCCCGGCATTTCTATAGTCCTACCACGAAATGTTCTTAGAACACCAAAATGCTCTAAGAACACAAGCAATGCTCTTAAACGTAAGCCTTATGAGTTAAAACAAGACAGACTCCGCCAGAAATGTTCTAAGAACATTCCGTGGAAACCACAAAAGGTTATTAGAACATTGTTTGGTAGGGCTATAGGCGAGCCGGGACGCTTCGCCACTGCTTGAGACACTGGACATCCGAACAGTCCTATCATCGAATTAAACATGTGTTTAAAACGCCGGGACACTGTTCTAAACATGCTTTGAGCATGTTTGTGTTGCATGTTTGAACAGCTTTAACACATGCTCTAGACATCTGGAAATCATTTGGCAGCATATGCTTCATCTCCATCGATCGCCCTCCCCCTCACCCTCAGGGGCCTGTTGAGGGGGGGGGACTACCAGGCTGCCAGGTGCGCAGCACGAAGCCTCACCGGCCTCATAGCCGGGGGCCTCCGGCCGCTCGCGCGGGCATGCCTCCTCCCGACGCCAGCTGCTGCTCGGCGGGGGCGCGAGAGCGGGGCTTGTGTGCACCAAGGCGGGGGCCCCTCTCCGGGCTCCGAGAGCGCGTGGCCGAGAACTCGCCATCGCTCGGACGTCCATTCCCTGTGTTTTTTTCGGTTTCGTGCGCGGTTTTTTCCGCCAAATGATCAAGGATGCTCCTCGATGGTCCTCGCCGAAGAAAAAATGCACACGTCCGAGCGATGCCAAGAGGAGAGCACGCACCCACAAGAGAACGCCGACCGGGAACAAAAGAAGCGGCCGCCCACGGATCACTTGCCATCGCTGGGACGTCCATTCCCCGTGCATCTGTCGGTCTCGTGCGTGTTTTTTGTTTGGCTCGATGGTCCAGGATGGTCCTCGAAGGTGCTCGCCGAGAAGATCATGCACCCGTCCGAGCGATGCCAGGATCACGGGCGGCGAAGGTGTCCACATCCACGCCGTCGCGGTCTGGACTCTGGGGCGCGGTCCCGCGCACGCGCGGTCGCACGGACAGCGTCCGCACGAGGCATCCGCGGAACAGCGCTCCGTGTCCGTGGGGTCCCAGCCCAGGAGCCCGGCCCGCGAGGCCGCGGATACGGACATGTTTGTCGCCCTCGAGGGAGCTCGGCGTTTGACCTTCAGTGCAGGAACCGACTGGGAAATCAAAGCGACAGAGACTTCAGCCGGCGCCCAGATGCGCACACACGATGAGCATCTCGCCAGGAGAAATCTGGGTGCACACCCTCAACCCTTGTCAGAACAAAAACAACCAGACTCGGTTGGGAAACCTGGAGGCATGGGGGAATCAGACGCCGACGTAGAGGGCTTAGAGGGAGAAGGAGGAGGCAGGGAAGCAGGATGGCGGGAAAGAAATGCACGACGGAGAGGAGTATGGAAAGAGGACGAGTGCTGTAGAAAGAGGGAAGGAGGGAGAAGGGGAGAAGCAGGAGGAGGAGGAGGAGGAGAGAAGAAAGAGGATGGAGGCAGTGAGAGAAAGTTAGATGCAGGGTTAGAATGAGGAAATAAGGATGGGAAGGAGAGAGGCAGGAGGGAGGAATGGAGGCAGGCAGGGAAAGGGGGGGGGAAAGGCAGGGAGGGGGAGGGGGAAGGGAGAGCAAATGAGGTAGCAACAGAAGGCCACCGGAGTCCCCCATACGAAGCCCTAAGGCTATTCAACCAACCCTCCCTATTCCCGCCGCTCCCCTATCCCACCTCGCTCCTCCTGGATTCCTGGATGAGGAGGGTAGAAGGTTAGACGGAGGAAGGAGGACGGGGAAAGGATGGAAGGATGAAGGATGAAGGAGGAGGAGGAGGAGGAGGAGGGGG